AGCCCTGGGTTTGCGGAGCGCTGCCTCCCCCTTCCATAAACAGACGCTCCTGGGGAAAGCGAGGCCGACTGAAACGTCGTCACATCGTCCTGAGGAATTACAGGACCAACAGCCTACTTCTGATTTGAGCCAAAGGCTCATCTCCTGGGGTGGTTGAAGTCCAAATAATCCCTTCATTCCTTTAGCTGCCATCATGATGCAGGACACCTACGCAGACACCTCATTAGAAAAAATGATTTTTTTCTTTAATATCCGAGTTCCCCATATAGGCCCATCCTCAGAAAAACCCAACCCCATGCTCCCCTTCCAGGCTGACTCACCTCACAGCTTGTGCTTCTCACCCTGAGCGCCCAGCTTGCTCCACAGCTATGGACAGGATGGATCCCCAGTGAATCAGGGCCAAGCTGATCTCTCCGAGTTCCCATTTTCTTTGCTTCTAGGCTGAGACTGGAAGTGGCTGGGGGAGGAGGGGGGGAGCGTATTACAGCTCCCTTCTAACTCCCTCTAAAATCTTTAGTGGGAACCAGTATCGGATTGGTGGGATATGTACAGGTTGCCCTGCCCTGGCACTGCATCTTACACGAGCGCCCTTCACACGCAGCCTCCAGGCTTACCACCTGTGGCACTGGAAGGGAAACATATTTCCCCATTAATCCAGAAAGTAATTGCCACTGCATACAACTCCTGCAGTCAAAAAATGCATTTTCTACCAAAAACGTGGTACAACCAGGGTCAACATCTTTGTCTGTACAAAGGAGAGGATTTCTGGGCTGAGCTTAAAGTAACTGAAACAGACTCACACAGTAGCTCCTACTGCTGATACTCGCTCGATTTATCTCCACTGCTTGCCACCTGTGAGAGATGACCTGTTTTCAAAGCAAGTTGTAAACCCTCTGCCACATCCCCCTGGGCTATTTTGCACAAAAAGAAGAAAAATATGAAAAGAGCTGAAGAAGGAAACTTAAAAGTACTGAGTTTCAGTCAATTAGGTTACAGCAAGTCAATGAGATCCAGCATCCACATCTGTTTGAAGTAACCCTTGGCTAAACAAAACAGCTAAGCCAAGTATCACTGAGAGAGGTTAGGGAGAAATAAGTTGGTGTTCTCCTTCACTCGGCGTGTTGCTTTTTGCCTTGGACAACGGCTGACACACACACTCAGTATCTGCTCTTGGAAAGTCAGTCACTGCTCTGTGTTGCGCAGGGCCAGGAAAACCTTTACAGACAGGAGAGCCCATTACAAGGTCCATCAAAGCTGACAGTGCTCTGCACAGGTACTGCTGCGAAGAGTTAATTACAGGCAGGCAAAACGCTTGTGCTGCTGCTCTCACCTACTGCTTTGTGCTGACAGAACGCAGGTTGTGTCCGGAAATACCTGCCTTCCCCCTAGACCTGCAACTGATCACTGGACGCCCTGACCCTCACCTTTAGTTGGATACTTGCTGTGATTTTGCCACGTGCATTTGCCCAACCTCGTTTACTGTGCCAGCGGCTGCACCCGCGAGGGCAAACACGTGGGTTAGTGCCAGCCGGGTGCTTCTGCCGATGGGGCTGAAGCCACCGAACTGCTGTGCTCTCGGTTCTGCTTTTTTTTTCTTCCCTTTACCCATGGTTAGACTTTCTTTGGCAAAGAGACAAAACTCTGCCAAAGTCGCTCAGAGGCACTGCTCTGCCAGAGGAAACACAGGCTACGTTCACCGGACTGTTCTCGTTGCTGAGGAAAAGGAATGGGCTCAGCACCAGGCGCTCCGGAAACCTAAGGGCCCTTTTTGGCAACTGCAACGCAAACCAGAAGCTCATGGAAGAAAAAAAATGGAAAAAGAAAAAGCCCATTTGTGAAGCTGCAGCCTATTAACAGAGTTTTCCATCATCACGAAATACTGCGTTCCTTAACCCTTTGCCTGCTGCTACGCAAGACCCGGCTAGCACAGCTCAGTCCGGCCGCGTGCCAGAGCCCCAGCGTGAGGGAGCTTCTGTTCTGGCCTTCCTGCTGCCTTGCAAGGAACCTCTGCATTTCCACGCTATTTAATATATTATATCACACCCACAGTCAGCAATTAAAATGAATAAATAATTCAAGTTTTCTAAGAAATAAAATGTTAAACTGCTAAAAACTACAATTATTTACATTCTTGATTATTCCACGGGCTTGTTTCCAACACTGGTACTTCTTCATTACCAGAGAAACAATCAGGCCTCACCTTCTGTTAGCAGCTACATCCCAGCACCACCCCAGCCAGCTCTGGAGGTGTCCGTGCTTTTGCCCCGGCAGCCTTTGAGTGCACCCCTTTGACTTCAAACGTAAGCTGTACCAGGATTTGATTTCATTTTTTCTCCATTAGGAGTTACTCTGTTCCAAGACTTGTTCAGGGACAAATCAACCCCTTTCTCTACCTACCTACATAACCCGAGCTGCTTCTGTGCTGGAACAGGACGCCCCACGCCCACGTCGGTCTGTGTCCGCAGGCAGCTCGGCAGTTGTGTCCCAGCGTGGCAGACCTTTGCCCGTGCTATGGACGGGACGATGCTGTGAGCACCCCCCTGCCAAACCTCCCCTGGAGTGGCCCGTCCAGGACCTCACACCACCCCTCTGCACTCCCAGCCCCTGCCCAGTGCCTGCCTCTGTCTCCTGCCAAGATGCTGAGGACTTATGGAGGGCACCAGGAAGAGGCAAAGCCTCTCAGACACGCAATCGTTTTCTAACCATCTACTCCACTCTAGTGGTGTGCTGGTCAGCTTCTCCTGCCACCACAAACCACATCGGTCCCAATTAGACCCAACATCTCCTTTTAATAGCGTCGAAGATCTGTTCTTGTTCTTGCTGTTTTCGGACTCTTCAGCTACGTCCTCAGTTGACAGGTTTAACGCCGCCCCGCAGCTGGTTCAACCAGCCTGTTGGCTGAACCAACTCTGACCTAGTGATCATACAGAGTTTGTTTCCCGCCTACAAATCTAACAACCAGGCCAGGTTTGAAATTTCTTCCTACTTGTGTCAAGCTGACCCTCAGCCACCAAGATTTGGGTAACTTACTCTTTCCTCTGCTTCCCTACGATTAAAGGTGGCAGGGATTTGGAGGAGCTTGATGCTGGTTTTGTGGCTGGATTAGGCCACCTCAAAGATCTTGACTTCAACAGTACCGAGGTGCATCAACTGAAATACTGTTGTATCACCTAAGATTGCCATCCGTCGGGTACAGTTTCTTCCCCTTAAAAGCCTTGATGGATAGAGACATAGGCAGACCTTCAAAGGTACTCAACAAGTTCCCTAAGATATTTGGTGGGAACTAGGTACGCCCGTGCTCTTACACACATGGGTCTCGGCATGTCAGTAACAAGCCATAGTGCTGCTGGCCCTTACGCCTCCCTTCCCAGCTCCACCTGCCTCAGGTTGCTAAACATGTCCAGACCTCTGGCTGAAAGGTATTTCCAAAGAGGAGCAGGCCAGGCAGTGGGGTTGGGGTGTCTACCTAAAAGATGAGGCTGATGAAAGCAGAACTAAGTGCAATGAGACTGACTCATATTTACATTTTTTGATGGAAAGCTCTGCAAGTCATGCGCATTTTGACTTCTCAAACCTCATATGCACTGTCTTCTGTGCCAGAGTAATCCTCCTTTTGAAAAAAAGATTCCGTGCTGTGCTGCCAGAGCAAGACATTTGTCACCTCCGATCCCTTTCAGGGCTTGCTCTGCTGTCCTTCATGTGGCAGCAGCAGTGAGAGTTGGTAGTTCTGTCACTGTATTCTCTGAAACAGTCAGTGGCCTCTCAGAACTGGTAGACTTTGTTCCAAAGACTTGATTTGCTTCATTTTGGCATTTCCACAGTCATTCTTTACATATAATTATTATTTTTTAAATTTATAATTATTATTTTGTATTTTGCTGGTCACTTCCATATTGCTTCATTCAAAATCCAGAAAACAGTTCAAATAAAATTGGAGCTTAAGTGCAAACTAACTTTCCAGTGAACCGCTATGTGCATTTTCTCCAGTCCAGTGTCTGTCTTCCAGTTTAAAGGACCCTTCCCACTCCACAGAACTTCATGACCCACATCAAACTCTCCAGTTCTCCATTTTGTCCTCAGTTTTGCCCGACAGCATCCCCAACTCCTTTCATGATCACAAAGAAGAAAAAGAGGGAAGAATTTGTTTACTTCTTTTTATGTCTTTATAGTCAGCAGGTATGAAACAGGAAAGCAAAGCTTTTCGCATACAAATCTTGGTTTCTTGGCCTGTCTTTTAGCTTCCAAAAGAACATGTTGGAGGCGTGGTTCTGTTACTCTCTTCTGAACGGGTTTTTGTGTTTGAATTGTTTGTCGTGTTGGCACACATACAAAAATGCTCATGTCATGTACCAGTTCTGAGCAGGAGTCTCCCTGGTTAGGAATTGGCACAAAATCATGGTGTGGCTCTGAAAAAGGGTTCAGCCATGTGTTAAGAGTCACATCATCACTTCTTAGAAAGCCACGATGAAGATCTGAATGGTTATGAAAAGCCAGGTTAACCATTTTCAGTTGCTGGGATAGAAAATATTAGAGAAAGAAATCAGATTCTCAATCTCGATTACTCTGTCACGCATGATATAAAAATTGTCCGGTTTTCCCCCTAATAGCAACTGCTTTGTGATTTCCAGGAATGCTGTACAGACTTGAAAGGAACAGCCCCTCTGTGGCATTCCCTACAGGGTCTAGTTTGAATCACTGAGAACTTGCCCGACAGCAGGCAGCACTGCCATGCGCCTTCCCTGGCACCGTCTGGCTTCTCTGACTGTCCGACCCTCCAGATCTGTGGAGTGTGAGAAACGCCAGGTTGTACACGCCTTCTTTCAGTCTCTTTCCTTCCTTCTTTCCTTCCAGGTTCCCAACCAATCTGCAAACAACTCCAAGACTTCCTTTCACTTAGAAATATCAAAAATGAGTGAACTGGCAAGAAGAGGAAGCTCATGGGAGAAAGAAAGGGAGGGAAGGAGGGAGGGAGAGAGGCTGGGAGGGGAGAGAGAGAAAAGGAGAGTGAGAGAGAAAGAGTGAGGCAGCTAGAAGGAGTTGCCTTTCCACTTCTGTAAGACCGCAGTCGCTACACCACTGTATTTCGGTGTCTGTAGGGTGGCGGGGGCAGCACAGTGCCAGGCTTCAGGGAGAACTCGGAGAGGTATTCAGGATTCTCTGCCACAATGGGCCGGATCCGTCCATTCTGTTTGTAAAAGTATTTTGTGCTGTACTCTTGCAGGTAGTCTGGGTGCTGGAGGGTGCTTCGCGGGGGCAGGCTGTGGTTCCAGTAGTCTGGGTTGTCAAAGGCCTTCTTGGCTTTCTCTGGCAAATTGTTCTTCAGGTACTCAGCATTTTCCAAGGTGTTTGCAAAAGTGTTGAGGTACAATGGCTCGTTCACGTACTCATCCTCCGCTTTGGGTTGCCCGTTCGGAGCGTTGTGATACTCTGGGTTGTCCACAGCTTGGAGATCTCCGTTCTTCCGTCGGGAAACAAATGGGTTCTCTTCCACTGGGTTTAAGTAATCTAAGGAAAGATAAAAAAATAAATCGGCAAAGAGAGGGAGTAATCCATCCACATAGCAAGCATCACGTGAATGTTATTACTAAGCTGTACCAGAAGCAGTACTTGGACTCGTGTGTCCTCCACCCCAGCCATTCCTAAACTGCAGATAAGATCACACAAGAACACAAGATCACACAACTGCAGATGAGATCACACAAGAACACACAAGAAATTACAACCTAAACAGTCAACACGGGTTAAAATGAACATCCTGGAAGATCAAGCGACTCATCAAACTTACTGGCAAACTAAACTACACCTCCCCCTAAGCCAAAGCCCATGTGCCTTGCTTGATCCTGGACTTGCTCTCAGTGTATGATCTACAGAGCCAAACAGCAGCAAATTCTGTCTTTGCTGTGGCCTCTCTGTGCAGCCTTGGACATACCAGTCATGCCCTCTGCTCTGCAATCTTTGCATCCAGAAAGCTCCACAGAAATCTTAGTTAAGCTTCTCTGCACAAAAACCATCCCCAAGGGCTAACTTCTAAGACAGCTTCATTTCTAACAGAACAATTTGCCTGATTAAAAACCTTCCATCCCTGAAGGACAAAGGGCCTCGAAGCATTATGAAAAAAATGATTCAAGTGAGCCCTGGAAAGGGTACAAGAGGGCCTTACATCAGCTCCAGAACAGAACTTGGAGCACATTACAGTTACTTCAAATCACTTTCTGTGAAGTAACACCACAAAACAAATGTAGCTTAGTTGCAGAAAGGTTATTTAGCTTGCATGGAAAGCTAGGCAGGAGGGGAGAGAAGAGAAATGTAAAGAGATTGGTTGTCCTGCGTTAAAACCACAGGCTTAGTGAGGTCTGTTCCACACAGGCCACTGAGCCACGGAGCAGTGGAATGGCCGAGTGCCTCGTCCTGCCTCGCCCCATGTGGAACGAGGTTTCAGAGCAGAACAGAAAGCCCAGGCCGGGGGGAGGCGGCTGACGCTGTGAGGGCACTGCAAAGGGAGCAGGTTGGAAGCAAGCGGGGGACAAGAGCAATGGGGCATGGGAGTCCTGCAGCAAGACATGTCAAAAGCAGCCAGTTCATTCAAAGCTGGAGATCATCAGATCAAACCCACTTCGAGTATTAATTGCGCCTTCTGTCTCACAGCCTAGAGGTTCCTTACAGAACAGGGTCTCCAAGCCACTGCCACCTGCGAGGGGCGAGCTCTCAGCCTGCCTGTGCTGCACCGGGACGCGGCTCCCAGCAGCATGGCTCTGCTCACGGGCTCGGGACATCTCCGCAGAGAGCCCTACCTGCACGGGAGCAGTCCCTGCCTGTTATCAGAGGGTGGTGATGGTCCTCACTTCAGCTCTGGTTTTACCCAGGATGGGGCAAAAACTATTAAATGCAAAAATTCATGAGTTAGCGAGTGCCTTTGAATACACAGCGAAAACTCTGCTGGATGTGAGGTGAACTTGAGCCTGTACCTAGAGCGGCACAGTGGGAACTCTTTTTTTTAAGAGATGACAGCCAAGCGGTGCTTTGATTGGAATCCCTCAGCTAACAGCGAGCACGCAGCACCGTGTCCACACTGTTACATCCCCGTGCCTGACTGTGAGACACGAAGGAGGTGCTTTCTCCTGAGCTGCTACTACCACATCCCCAAGGGCCCGGGCAGCACCTGTGAAGTGCCTGCAGAACTCTGAGGAACCTCAGGGTGAACCCGCATGTGAACATGTGTACGGGCTTGCACCGAAGCGAACTCACAGCACCAGATCTCTCGCATTGCCAGGGTGGTTGCTCACGTGCAGGGCCATGAGTGCACTCTTCCCTTTGCTACTGCCATGGGTTAAGCCAGCGGCTCCCTCCATTTTCACCATGTAACACAAAGAGTAAGTGGCTTCCAAATTCTTAGCAAACACAGTAGTTGCTTGGCATTTACATTTGCATTAATTAATTTCTTTAAAGCTAGTGCAAAGGTTGGAAAGTAAATTACTAATGAAACATCCCTTTACATCTAAATGAGTGCTGTCACTATTTAAAAAGGAATAAATGAATGATGGCAAACTGGAAAGTGTAGGATTCTGAGCTGGCACAGATCTAGGGAAACTTCTCTCGGGTATAAAATGCCAAGTGTGTGTATCGGTTCTGTGGTATGTCCAACATGACATTTACCAAGTACAATGCCATGAAGATAAAGAAGATCAATAAACAGAGCAAAGTGAAGCCTGTGGCTTGCCAAAGACTGATCCTTTTCTTGAAAATAACTGAAAGATTTGTGTTTGGATAAGAAGGGGCCTTTTTTTCATTCCTCTCTTTTGTTATTTCCCAGAATTACCAAACCTTACATTGAGTTTTTCTAAGTAGAAAATTAGGCAAAGAAAAATGAATCCCCATGCAAATAAACATTAACCTAGTCAGAACATTTCAGTCTTTCTGGGTTACTCAATAAAGCCTTTTTTGGTGAAAAGCTGCTGACGTAGAAAAAGAGAGAATGCAGTCAGAACGCTTTTCTGGAAATACAATTTTTTTTACCTGTTTTAGGTTTGTCTCTCATCGGTGTCATGTACCCATCTTCATCCAGCTCTCCCCGGATGACCCGCTCAGGTATGAAGACGGTGGGATCAGCGCTGTACCTCTGGGTGCTGCTGTCCTCTTTTGCTAGGGTTGCCACTTGTTTTCGTAGCGTGCCGTTGCAGCAAGTATCTTCAAAGATCTCTGCTGTGGCCCCTTGAGCAACTGGGGCTTCTGGTATTATGCAGCCAGGAGCTCTGTACGGCATTGGCACTTCCGTAGTGTAGCCACCATCCCTATACACAAACTGGTTCTGTTGAAAAAAGAAAAGGCACCATGGGAAAGGAGGCTCCGAAGGGAGAGAAGACTCAACAGCAAGTGATCTCTGTGGCTCCTGTGCCTCTCCTGCCACATGTGCTCAGTGATGCATTTCACCAGGCAGCTGAAGCCTTGTCCATCCCGCAGATGACTGCGTCTCCCGCGCTGCGGGATCGGCAGCAGCACTCTTGGGCTCTGCCATGAACCAGCAAAGCATCCGTGTGCTCGGTGGTGCTGAGCCAGCTGCCCCTCCCAGGGAGGCACCATCGGGGCAGCGAGGGCAGAAGGGAAGCGAGCTGGCTGCTCAGGGCTGGAAATGGGGCAGGAGAGGTTGCCTACTACCTCAAAATGTGGAGGCAGGATATACACAGCTGTAAGAGGCAAACATGGAATCTCCTCTTCTATTACTCCAGTAATCTCCTCTGATTTCTGAATAAATCCCTTAAACCTCACGTTAGGGAAATCTCCTTTTGCCAAGGGGACTGGGAATAGAGGGCTTTACCACCTCTGAACTCTGCTTTGTTCCTGGGGGGCCTATTTTTAGGGCGTCCTGCAGTGACAATCACACAGTCACTCAAACACTATGCAATTCCATCAGGGCAGTGCATTCCAGGCTGGTGAACTGCATTTGACTTGGTAGCTCAACTCACTGGTTTTACTCAATCTACCATTTTGCGTGTCAGCAAGGAACTGCAAGGAAATTTCGACATCATGACCTATAAATAGGAAGGAAAAATGTACAGATTCATCCAAGCCTGTCACCTAAATGCTTTTTAACGACAAGTTAGCAGTTGGCAGAATTTCGGTTGTGGGTCCACAGAGCTTGCACGTGAATCCAGGCTGAGTGTAGAGATCTTTACATACACATTTCATTCACTGTTGGCTTTTGGAGCAAGGCAGAAGGGGTTTGAAACAGAAAATACATAGTGAAGAAAGGGGGAAAACCTAAAGGATGAAGGTTGAATGTGAAATACTTACTCCTGACATAGGGGTGTAGGCAGGAGGAGGGCTGTGTCCAATTTCACTCTAATAGGAAAGAGAAATGGATGATGGATACATAATAAGAGGTCACATGAATGAAACAAATCACATGAGCTGTATGAGCTAACGGGGAGAAACATGCACATCAGTTAGATTTCCTAACTGAGCCCAAACTTCAAAGAATTCAATCACGGCAAATGTCTCACCAACATCAACCAGCTGTGTGCCTCACCAGTCTCAGCGAGGGCTTCTGAGTTCCTCTGCTGAGTTAGGGCAGGTGCCATGTTACACCTCCTGACAGCTGTGTATCCTCCACATGTCTGGCTGATTTTTGGAAAGGCAGATTGTACTTTAGAGGAAATACAGAGAATGAGACGTGCAGAAAGTGTCTACTCCGAGCTAAGGCCTCCTTCCCCAGGGACAAAGCAGGACAGGAGTAACCGTGAGGGCCCGAGGGTGCAGGACAGTCACTAGATCGTCACAGCCAGCCCACGTACCACAGGAAAACCAGCAACCTACGCTTTGGTAATCCCAAATGGCACAGCAGCTGCTGGATCTCAAAACCCCAATGTTCCATGGCCCTGCTCTGAACATATGCCACCCTTCTACTGTTTCCTCTGTATCACAGGCTAAGGTGTTTTACCGAGAGGGCTGGAGTACCCATGCAGGAATCTTCATTTTGATACTGGTTTCTGGAACCACCTTACAATGCCCTGTGTACCCTGAACTGCTGTGAGGCCACCAGCACACCACTGGCTACATTTATACCTATTACTGCTACTCAAAACTGGCCTGGTTTTCATTGAGTAAATAGTGATTTTTGGAGGAAAATAAAAACAAACCAAAGAACTTTTTACTTTTAACTTGTTTTTCTACTGCCAAAGTGTTATTTTTGAGACTACAATATCAGTTCTTCATAATTACTTTGTTTCCCCCCTTTTCTTTTTTCCCCAAAAACTTTATTGTATTTCCCTTACCTCCTTGCTGGGAGAGAGAAAAAGTCAGGGTGTGACACAAGAAGGTGTCAATTTGAGATAAATTAGAAGGAAAACCCCACCACCTCAGTGAAGAAGTCTAACCACCCTGAGAACACTCTACGTTAAAAGATACCTCACTCATCACAATATATTCAAAAAAACCCCCATATTCACACCAAGAGACACACCAAAATTCAAAGAAAAGACCGCATGCATCCTTGCATGGTAAGGACTGGATGTACTACAGTCAATCTTTCCCTTATAAACTTCTTGCAAAAAAATCAGGATGGAGGTGATGATCACTGTCATATATCTAACTTTACAAAGATTTATTTTGCTTTATACTTTTTTGTGTTTAAACAAAATACCTCCACCAGGAAAAAACTTAAACACAAATATAAACTTTTTTAAGTGCATGCTGTCTGTCTGAAGACCCTTTTCTGATGACCAAAACAATGTCCATTTCCTGCTATTTGAAATATCCCTGCAGTGCTTGAGCTGTAAACGTGCTAATAAGCCACAGTTAGATTTCTCATCCTCATGAAAAATTATGTGTATTTAGCCAAGCTATGACCTATAAAAGGCTTTGGGTTGCAAATGGCAGAAGGGCAGGAGACTGTTTGCGAGCTGAATTGTCTGTCTGCCCCATCCATTAGCAAGGCTCATGCAGAACCCTCTCCATTGCTGGTTTTCCTCAGGGAAACTAGATGCTGGAAGGAAACACAGGAGAGGACCTATACCATGGTCTCAGTGACACCCTTGCCAGTGCCAGGGCCTAGGGGAGGAGGAAGAGGAGGAAATGGCAGGCTGAGCAGACTGCAAAGTTGCTGAGAGGCTTGCAAGGCAAGTGATGCTGGAGGAGCTGGCAGCAGGGATAGTCAGGAGCCAGGGAATGGCAGCTTGCAAAGGAACAGAGGGCAATGACAAGCGAGAGAGACTGCGGGGTGCGGGGAGGGAGAGAGGGTTGGCATGTGACAGGAGGCTGAGCATGAAGGCAGAGATGGTAGCAAGACCTACACGTGACAGGGAGAGATGGGAGATGCAAGGATAAAAAACACTGAATGCACTGAAACACCAGCTTCTCTGAAGGCTGGATCTGAACTTGAATCTCCTCTGCTATCAGCAAATCGCTCTTGAACTGAACGGCCAAATGCAGGCCGGGCGCAGCTGGTGCAGAGGAGCTGAGCAGTCACCGGCCCTCCTTCAGCACAAGTGGCAGAGCTCTCCTCTGTGCAACTGGCGGGAGCTCCAAGGGCTCTGCGCACCACCCAAGGCTGGGCTAACTGACTGACTTCACTGAGCTTTTGCCAAAGAGCTCAGTAAGTTTGAAAAGCTGAGCTTAAACTTAAGCCCGAAGCCTGGGAGCAGCTTTAGCCTCTCTGACCCAGTTGTGGCTGCTGACAGCCAGAGAAACAAGGATGATCTCAACTGCAGAATTCCGGCTAAGGCAGCGCAGAGAGAGATGACAGAGGGCTTGGATGGATCAGCCTGGAGAGTCCAGCGTTGCCCCATCTGTGCCTGGTCTCCTTCTCTTACCCAAGATGAGCGTACTTGTATAGAGAACAACAGCCAAGAGAAAGTTCACAAGGAGTGACAGAAGAACCAAAGTCAGCAGCTGCCTGGCTGAGATGATCATGCTTCAGAGCAAAGATCGGAACAGAAGGAGAAACAAAGGACACTTTGATAGAGTTTACTTTTTTAAAGGGCATAGACATCAATGCACATCTGGATAAAGATTGTGCACCAAGCTTGTAACTTGGCAGTCCTCTGCACAAAGCTCATTGGGGACAATCGGGAAGGTCCCTTTAAACAGGGAACGGGTAGGATCCAGAGAAGAAATATGAACGGGTGCGTAGCGAGTCAACTCTCTGAACAGCGAGGAATCCACAGCTCTGCTGAGAATCTTCCGCTTCCTTGTAAAGCTCCCCAGCTTCCTTTCCTCTCACCTGCAGCCTGTGAGACTCCGAAGAGGCCATTTGCTTCTTTGGGTTCCCAAGGTGTGCAAGCCCTCCAGACCTCACGAGAGTGAAAAGAGCTGGAGCACCACTGTGTTGGTACTATATGCAGGGGCTTGAGTTCAGTGCTGTCTGCTTTTCACAGGCGCTAAACCAGTGACTGTAACCACTCCTTTCCTACTCAGCACTACACTGTGCTCTACTGCACACCTCTAATTTACATCTTCCCATTTTCACAGAGGCACTCCCATGAATTCCAGCTTGTGGTCCATTGATTCTGGATCAATAAGGGGAGAGATATCTCAAACGATTTTTCGTTCACAGCCCATGGTGATCTTTTAAAGGCAACGTGGAAAAGCAAGTCTTTTGTCAACAGGCTTGACTTCAGTACACAGGGCTCTGCCCCTCTGCCAGTAAATGTTTAGATGACTAGCAACTTTAAAAAATACTGTTACAGGATGGCTATACTATCTATTCATGGGCATGCTTTGCTCCACCCTCATTAGAAAAAGCTAAACCCACCATCCTATATTTCTGTCTTCTTGTCCGTATGTCCAACATTTAACTATACACTCTGCAACTCTAAAAACATAATAACAGGCCTCTTAGAATACGCCTGTCCCAAGACGTCAGGAGACCACGGCGTAGCATTAATGCACTTATTGCCATTTTTTCTGACAAGATCCTTCCCAGTCAGTGACTTGCCAACTAAGATCACAGTAATAGTATTTTCTTTGTGCCTCCCCTTCAGCTCTGAACTAAACATAGCTGTCTTGCAACATCCTTAGCACAGAACCTTACAGCTTGGCTCTTCTCCAAACCACTGGTGTCTGCACCCTCTTTCAATTCTTTACTGGTTTTTTTCCCATGAGTTAATACCCTGTGGTCACTGTTCCAAAAAAAAGAAGGCAAAGAAAACAGTTGCGGTGCCAATTAGTGGGGCTGAAAACGTGATATAATTGTTTAAAAGTCTTTAAATTGCCTGCTAATTGCAATGTGATTTCATTATTTTGTAGGCTTCCAAGATAACCACTGCCCCAGCCAACTCTTACTGGTCAGGACATGAATCACGTTGTGAGCAGAAAATACATTTGGACCTTGCCAAGTAAAACTTAAATAGCTTGATTTGTATGTATAATCCAATTTACTTTGTTGATTATTTTCTTGTTGTTGTTGTTTTTGCTTCTTAAATACTACCTTGAAAAAAAGAGCTGATGTTCCTTCACTGAGAGAAACTAGCCAGTTAGCTCGGTCGGTTAGAGCGTGGTGCTGACAACACCAAGGTCGTGGGTTCGATCCCCATTCGGTCCCCTTGTGTTCCCAGATCGAGTTGAGAGGTGCCCCTGCCTGTGACAGGGAGGTTGGATTAAATGATCTCTAAGGTCCCTTCCAGCCGAGGCCAGTCTAGGATTCTATGATCCTGAAATTTCAGCCTGAATGACCCAGATCTCTAGCTTGTCGAGATGGACAGGAACTTCAGAGACTGATTACTCAAGGACCTCATTACACAAGCCTACTTTAAAAGTCTCAACTTGCATTGAGACAACCACAAAAGAATCAATAACCAACTCCTTCCGATGGTGTAATATGTATTATATCCCTTTGCTCTTGAGTGCACACATCCATCGACATTTAAACTCTAAGCATCCTCCAGATGAAGCACAGCCTTTTTAACCACCCACGAGCAGCCCTAACCAGAAATGCCTGAGATTTCATTCCTTGTACCACATGATTGAATTTTAGGCACAAACATGACATCAGGGACAAAAGATAAAAAACAAGCAAATGTTCCCTAATGCCTTTTTAGAGGCCCTTTGGTACTGAATACCAGTGACTTATCAGCTACTATAACTGCTAACATTTGTGTAAAATGAGCCTGGATAAAAGAGAGGTAAATAACACTTTTGTGAATATTGGCTTCTGTTATTGCTTTTTATTCATTAATTTCATTTTCCAATTCCTTGCTTCTAAAATCTCCCAAAGGTAAGTAACTCCTTTATAGCAGGGACATAATATTTTCTGGCTGCATGTTAAACTGTAATGAAATCACAGCCTTGTTGGGTCCTGCCACTCATATTTATGTGGTTGTGTGAATACGCCTCTGCCTTGTCTC